CCCCCCGTCCCCTCCAGGCACCCTCGGGTGCCCCGACAGCCACGCACGCCAGGATGGGGCTCATTTTTTTACAGCCAAACTTTCATATTTAGAGCCCAAACAAGGATGGGGGTCACCCAGCCCCCCAGCAGGACTCATGGTCCCCAGGGACATCCCCTGCTCCATCCACCTCCCTGGGGAGGAGGTGATGGGAGGGACTGGGGGGGGAGGTCTCCCACGCCCAAGGGTGCTGGGAGCCCCCCGGATGCCCCTTTGCAGGGCAGCAGAGCGGGCAGCACCGGTTGGACGGTGAGGGCAGAGCCATCGACTGGGGCATCCCCAGGGAAGTGGGGTGGCGAGGGGACATTCCACATCTTCATCCATTCCAAACGGGAATGGGTTCCACCCTCTGCCCCTTCTCCCCGTACCTCCGCCAGCACCCGGTGCATCGCAGCGGCCGCCTGAGGCGAGACGTCCCACGGGTCGGTCTCCTCCACCATCAGCACGTCGAGGGTGCCCTTCTCCAGCACCACGTCGAAAGCGGCGTCGGGGAAGGTGAGGGCTCGGATGTCCATGACGGCCCAGCGCAGGCCGGGGCAGCGGGCGTAGCGGGCGCGCATGGCGGCGATGCAGGCGGGGGAGAAGTCGATGCTGGTGACGTCGGTGTAGCCCAGCTCGTGCAGGTCGTGGCTCAGGGCGCTGTTGCCGCAGCCTGTGCGGGACACGGCTCAGCCGGGGGGCTCGGGGTGCTGCCTGCACCCCAACCCTGTTCGTGCCCTGCACAGACGCAGGGAGGGGTGTGGATGGGCCGGGACAGCTACACAGGGAGCAGGTCATCGCCTCGGCTTTAATTAGCGAGTGCTGGGGTAGTTCTTAATTAACCCCTTCCTGCAAGGTGGGTGCTTTCGGCTCCGCAGGACCTCGGGGTGAGAGCAGCCCCATCACCCCGGGGTGGGATGCAGGAGCAGCTGTGGGGATGCGGGTGCTGGGGGGGTCCCTAGTCCGTGTCCCCCCCACTACTGCGGAGCAGGAGCCAGCCGTGTGTCCGTCCGTCTGTCCCCCCCCCGAGAACCTGTGGTGGGGCAAATTAGGGCAGCATGCAGCATCTAAGGGGACTTAACCGGGACGGATGGACAGATGGAGGGACAGAGGGGTGACTGTCTCAGGGGGCCCCAGCAGGACATGCCCCCCCCCGCCCCGGTGCGGCGGGCACGGAGAGTCCCTTCGCCGGGGCTCAGCC